GACTTGTACATTCCTGCATGCTCATATGCCGGATTATCGTGTATGTGTATTAGCTTGTCTGTGCTTGCACTATGTACATGAGTTTATTTCTGGAGAGTGTTGCTTTTCTACGGGTATCATAAAGATTTTTAGAAAATTCTGTCGTAGGCGGATGATCAATTCACCATACTGTACATCCTAGTCACATATCCCAGGTGAATGCCGAGAACAGGATGACTTGACTTCATCATTCCTAGGTGCTACTTTAATGATACCCAAGGCCTGATCAATGGATGAAAGCTCAAATTGCTTGTCAACATCAACGACAGAATGTGTATATATGTCAATGTATGGTCGAAATCAGACCTATTCCTCTTAGACACTTAGTATGATGGGTCTGTTTTGATAAAAAGGTATAATAGGATAGCAAGGGGTGTAATATAAGGCTGGTCCACCATAATTCGCTAAAGTGTTTTATGGATTGATAGTTAAATTTTTCCACAATTAGATGAGTATGCTTCATGATACCATAGAATTTCTATTAACTATGCCTTCCAAAAAATTATTTCATCCAGAGTGGACTAAAGTTTTGAAATTCGCCCATGCCTCAGCACCCTTAACATGACTTGATTAAGTATCGTCAGTATTGTGGCGACTACACTACACAGCCATGGCTACTAGTGGGTCACAGGAAAGGCGTGAATTTTCAGGATATTCATCTGCCCTGTGAACGGTTGACATGTGTATTTGCTTAGTGGAGTGTTACCGTTGCCTCGGTACTAACACTTCTCTATCTATTCCCCTTGAAAGTGTTAATGAGACCTATGGGAGATTAAAAGTGCGTTACATCCTGGATGAAAAAACCTTTAGAGCGACAAGGCTAAGATAATTTCAATGGCATTGTGGGTCACACACATTCTATTGTAGAAGAAATTGACTATCACTCCTCAATTAACCTAGGGTGAAGTATTCCGTACTCAAGAATGACGGGTTGTCTTGATAAATATTCATATAGAAAATAAGTTGTTTAGTTGCTGTATAGGATTAAAATGAATACATAGCCAGGTGGTTGAGGGTGCAGTCTGTATGTGTGACAAGTGTAATTCTAGACATCACAGTCTCTTAGGTCTAGTGATGGGCTCAGTACAACTGAAAATAGTTGATTAGTCAAGTCGGATAATTTAGAATGAGAGCTACAAGTGTCATGTGACGAAACTAAACGTTGTAGTACTATGAAGCTTGAGTTGCTACAAGATGAGAGGGATTCAAGAAGTTCCTCAAGTATTTTAATTCATTAGATTTTTAATTCGTATTAAAACTTTAAAGTACCCGAACAAAGATTGCTATGTAGTTGCTTGCCTTTTTGCGTGTCGTACGCATCGTACTCTGACAACCCAGAATTACTGCTGATATTTAGTCTGCCATGTGACAGACTTTTTCAGAGATACAAGCCATTATTTACTGCTGTCATGTGTCAGATTTAGTCAGAGCTACAAGTCATTTTTTGCGAAAATTTATCAAATATTAAGCTAAGG